TTCCGCCTCAGCCTTCCAAGTAGCCGGAATTACAGGCATGCACTACAACGCCCGGCTGATAAGGCATATATTTTAAATAGACCAAAACATAGCTAACTTTCCAAATGTGTTTTTTTCAGACTGCCTTAGTAGTAGCTGAAATACCAATTTCCTTCTGTCCTTCCTGGTAATCGACCAACAATTGTTTCTCAAGGTTGTTTAATGGTAAATGCAATTCGAGCATAAATAGTCAAAGATGAATTTATTTTACTTGCTGCCCCTTAGCAATTTAGGTGAAATTATCCACTGTGTACCTTTTTTTTTTTTGAGTTGGAGTCTCACTCTGTCGTCCAGACTGGAGTGCAGTGGCCGCTCCCGGCCACCGCAGCCTCGGCCTGCTGGGCTCCAGTGATCCTTCCGCCTCAGCCTTCCGAGTAGCCGGAATTACAGGCATGCGCCACCACACCCAGCTGATTTTTTGATTTATTGTAGAGATGAGGTCTCACTGCCCAGGCGGGTCTCGAACCCGCGGGCTCAGGCAATTCACTCACCTCAGCCTCCCAAAGGCGCGGGATTACAGGCTGAGCCACCGAGCCCGGCTCACTGTGTACCTTTTTAAAATTACTGTCTCTGAACCGTGAATGCACAGAATGGTCCATTCTGGTTGAATTCTCAGTGCGTGCTTTCATGAGAAGAAATGGAAAGGAAAGTTTATTGAGCAACCAATATGTGCCAAGAACCAGACTGGGCACTTCCCGAGACAGCTGTGCAAGGTGGGTGGGTATGATTGTGCACGTTTTAAGAGGAGACTTGGAGAAGTTATATACATACCACAAACAGGGATGGAGCCAGGAGGAGCATGGAACTTCAGAATCCAAAGTAAACTCTTTTTACTAAACCACATTGGCCACTTTAAATCTAGTGGGGGGGAAAGGCCTAAGGCTAGGAGGGTTTGCAGTGAGATGTCAAAATATTAAAACTGACCCAGTAATTACTTTTTTCTTTTTTAGACACCACTGTAATGGGGTTTTGCAGAGTAGTAAAGAAATTGGGCTTCACTCCCTTGAGTGCCTAATAATTTAAAATTATTAACTATAAAAATTTAACAACTATTAACAACTATTAGCAAATCATTTAGATTTCAGGGAATAAATAGGTTATTTAAATAGGCTAGAGGCATGGTGAATGGTAATCAGTATTAAATCATAATTTTTGGAAAAGGTTCAAGTCATGACTCTCACACAGATATTAAAATAAACACATTTAAAAACTTTGTTTGTGCCAGGCTCGGTGGCTCAGCCTATAATCCCAGCGCTTTGGGAGGCCGAGGTGAGTGAATTGCCTGAGCCGCAGGTTCGAGACCCGCCTGGGCAACTTGGCAAGACCTCATCTCCACAATATATCAAAAAATTAGCCAGGCGTGGTTGTGCACGCCTGTAGTTCCAGCTACTTGGAAGGCTGAGGCGGAGATCGCCGGAGCCCATCAGGTCAAGGCTGTGGTGGCCGGAGCAGCCACTGCACTCCAGTCTGGGTGATAGAGAGAGACTCCAACTCAAAAAAAACAAAAACAAACAAACAAAAAAAGCTTTATTTAACTCATGTAGGAGTCATGGAAGAGCGTCCCCTTTACCTTCTGAAGTTTCACTTAAAAAAAATCAACTCACAGTCTGGGTACAGTGGGCCATGCCTGTAATCCCAGAACTTTGGGAGACCAAGGTGGGAGGATTGTTTGAACCCAGGAGTTCAGCATGAGCCTAGGTAATAAGTGAGACCTCGTCTCTACAAAAAATAAAAGTAAAAATAAATTAGCCGGGCATGGTGGTACATGCTTGTAATCCCAGCTGCTCAGGAGGCTGAGGCAGGAGGATTGTCTCAGTCCAGGAAGTCGAGGCAGCAGGGAGCCATCATTGTGCTACTGCACTCCAGCCTGGGTGACAAAGTGAGACCACCACACACATACACACACACACACACGCACGCGCACACACACACACACACACACACACACACACACACACACAGAATCAACTCACAAAAGGCAGATTCGTTGGTGGAGAAAAAGCATACAAACATTTAACGTGTAAACGCAGGGAGAATCATAGAATGATTGCTCATCTCCCACTGTGGTTCAGAGGCTTAGATGCCTACCTGGCCAAACAGGCTATGGGAAAGGGATGAAGGGCAACTCTGATGAATGGATTACTAGGGAGAATGGATGGATCAGAGAACAGCAATCAACTTGGACATTTTTTTGTGAAAGAATCTGTTAGGTGTGGTTACATCCTTGGTCTTACAGGGAAAAGAAATAGTTGTTCTTTCCTTTTTGTGAGTTCGAATTTTAAGCAAAGGAAGACTTTGAGAGCCAGTGGTGGGGAGGAAGTTCAGAGAGATCTCAAACTTTCTTCAAGTTCATCGTATCAAAGCACTGTATTCTGGGGTATTGGCTTCTGAGCTCCAACACTCATTAATGACGCAACTGGTGAGTCTGTTACAACCAGATCAAAGGAAAATCCAAAGAATGGGACCCTTAATAGGTCAGAAATAGTGAATATTGAATAATGAAATAAAGATAGGAATATTGAAACTGGCTTTCCATGGAAGTGGGGGAAAGAGCGTTTTGCTTTTACTGAATAAAACTTATTTGCATGTCTATAGACAAGAATTATGTCAATTTGCTATTAGCTGTTACAATTTGCAGGGCTTAAAATAGCTGGGCAGTCCATAACCCGGATGTCTCCCTGCTCCCCCACTCCCTCTCTGTGCATTTGACCAGATACCTACACTGCTTTTCAATGACTAGACTTTGTCAGTTGACTTTCTAGCTAAGTTGTCCACAACAGTTTTATGGCTTTGTTTAGGCATATTCTTCACCAATACTAGGTTGAGCTAGCCTTAGACATACAGAGAATAAACATCACTTGGGAGGGGATGATAATTCATCAGCAAATGCCTCATGTAAGTAAAAAGGAATGATAGTATATATGATGAAATATAATACAAAGCATGTATTTTTTTGAGTCGAAGTCTCACTCTGTCACCCAGGCTGGAGTGCAGTGGCACACTCCCGGCCACCGCAACTTCGACTTGCTGGGCTCAAGTGATCCTTCCGCCTCAGCCTTCCAAGTAGCTGGAACTACAAGCATGTACCACCACGCCCAGATAATTTTTTGATTTATTGTAGAGATGAGGTCTCACCATGGTGCCCAGGCTGGTCTCCAACCAATGGCAATCCTTTCACCTCAGCCTCCCAACGTGCTGGATTACAGGTGTGAGCCACCATGCCCAGCCAAAGCTTGTATTTTAAAGATCACTTGTTTTCACATTATTCTTGTAATTGTTTTCACCAAAAAAAGAACTA